ATCATAAAAATGGTAAGAGTTAGGTACCATTGTCCCGACGTATTTTTTAAAGTACATGTATTATTGGCTGTATAGAGTGTAAATACCACGATTTAAGATATACAAACTATATATTATCTTGTTCTGTCTGTATGTATACACTATACTGTATATCTTTAACCGTGGTTAACACTGTACCTATATTATGTACAGCCGTAGTAGTTCAGTCCTATTTATTTGGGGAAACTCAAATTGGGTTACTGCCTTACTGGTTACCTATAGTACAGCTTATTAGCCGGGAGAAGGAGGTTGACTGGGAAGTCTCCCAAAAAAAAAAAATGTTTTTTTTATTAGGTACTCTAATGATCAGTACGAAATATTAAAATGATTATTAGGTATTCATTACCTAAATAAAGTTGTATTCGTAATATTAACATTAATTCCTATATTATGTGGCTTAATTCGTTTTCGCCCAGACTTTGTATTTAATAATGTTCACATTATCATATTTTATCATAGCTGAAATTTTTTGTTTAAAATATTTACAACATCTAGGTAACTAAATTATTTTTTTGCGGCCATTATACAACCAATAAAATAATTATCGCTTACTCTGGCCTCAAAGAAGATAATTTAAAAAAATCACTTAAGATAGTCACTTATAGTAGGTAGGTATGTCTTATCTGAACTTTTATATACCTATCTGCTCCCTTTACATTTTCCATTTGATGGTCTAAGTTGTTAAATTTTTAGCCACCAACTTTGCGCCAAGTAAAATCTGATGCATTTAATATTAAAAGACCAAATGTTTTGATTGCTGGCCCAATTTGAATATCTAATATCAAGTTATTACGTGGGTGACTACTGACTAGTGGATTCAACTTAATTATAGGTACCTACCTAGTTTATAGGCAGTGGTCAAGGTGGCTAAAAATAAGTGGTGGGATGAATTTCATAATTTATATACCTAGTTCTCATATTATATCGCTTGAACAGACGTACAAAATAAGTGAAGGGATGGAAAATGTGAATATAAGGTACAAAAAATAGAGAGATTTCCTCCCACTAGATCTCCCTTCCCCCCCCCCCAACTTCGACCACTGCAGTATATAGGTATTAGGAATAAGTACCTACCGCGCGTATGGCGTTTATAGTGTTTAAAGATGTAGCTACTACTCGAAAACTATAAAAAGGTTCCTAACCTATAGGTACTACTCAGCAGACCCTCTTGTCCACCCCTTTAAATATTTATTAATCAACTTTATTTACCAACGTTTTGAATTATTTTTGCATTAAGTAGGTATTTTAAAACCTCTCTTTAAAATTCAAACCTCATTAAGACTTTTATGAGTTTTATCTTCTAGCACGCACGTAGCTTATAAATTAGAATAAAACGTCAGCTATACACTACAGCTTGTACATTTTATTTGATTTAATATTGCGTTTCTGCATAGGCGTAAACNCTTAATGTTCAATGAGTCGCATCATTGGCGTGCGCAGCCTTCGGTTTCAGTGGCAGCAAGATATTGATTCGGCCCATTCTTCAAATTCACCATTAAAACCGGCCCATAGTTATACTTTTTTTAATATCGGGTATCAATATTAAAATTGTATTGGTTATTTGTTTTTTGTATAAAAAGTTGTACAGTAAGACACTAAGCCCACAAGCCTATACTTATTAATTGTTAATATTTACTATTTATAATAGAATAAAATGAACAAACATTAATAACAATATAAAATCAACAGTTCAACCAATATCGTATTGATTTAGTACGGGCAATGTTAAGTCGACCAATCTACCTAATAACGTAGGTACCCGTACCTATACAAGTATACAACAGATGATATACATTGTGCATAAATTAACAATATATCTACAAAATAATACTACAGTTTCTGATCGGGCGATGATAACTCTACAGGGTCAACTCAAGTACTACTTTCGGGTACCTACATATGTAAACTCTTCCGAGTCTGTAATAACTTCGTTTATGGTGTTTATACAGTATTATTAAATCCACCTGAATCATAAAAAAAATGATAATTTAAATCAATTTCAAATCAAATCAACATTTTAATTTAATTTTTATAACCATGCGCACAAACAGATTTAAAAATGGTAAGGTGTCTATTTTTGTCTGTATAATCAAGATTTTTAAAAAAAAAATTTTAAAACAACTCGGGATATATTTCTTTCAGGTAAACGTAATGTTGGCCCAAGATAGTTTACCATCAGGTGATTTTATCAGCGTCCTATAACTAAATATTAAAATATTAAAACTTTAAAAAAATGTAAATATAATATTAATAATCAATAAAATAAATACCTACTAAAATGCAATATAGTGTCGCCGATTATTGGACTCAAACGTCTGGCTCCGATTTATGTGTGTAATATTATGTTACATTAGACTAAAAACTATTTATAAATATGATTATTGCACTTGTGTGGCATGTAATACGCATTATCATAGGCGTAAACTGGGGGGGGGGGGCAAGGGGGGGCCATTGCCCCCCCTAGAATAAATTAGGAGGGGCAGTGCCCCCTCTGACATTTAACATACCTTGTTTTAAAATAAGTACAAAACAGCTGGTTATAGCTACTACTATACAGTTTTTTTTTAAATCTTAATATTCAATTTTAGCTTAGGTATCTTGTTAGATAATGCTTAGAATGCTTAAATAATGCATAATGAATAATTATATATAATATATAGGTAGTAAAGTGTCGTTTTTTCAAATTTTTCTTGTCTAAGGACTTAATGGGTTCATTTGAAAATATGTATACAATTTTTAAAATATATTTATCGATTCCAATGAGTTCTGCTTCTAGTGAACGTTCTTTTTCGTCTTTACGTCGTCTCAAGACATTCACTAGAAACACTATTGGTCAAGAGAGATTAACTAACATAGCTATTTTAAATATAGAAAAGTTGTACCCAATAAATCTTGATAAAATTATTGATAAATTCAATGCAGAATCAACCCTAAGAGGCAGAAGACTACAGTTAATATAAATTTGTTATTATTTTAAGCATAAAGTTAATACTTAATTGTATATAATATCTACTTGCAGTTTTTAGAATTATGATGCATTTTGTTTAGAAGTTATAAAATATTAAAAATTTCAATGTTTTTAATGTATTTAAGTTTGTATATTTATTTCATTACTTAGTAATATTGATCACCTTATACTAATATACAACTACATTCTACAACAAAAGGTAATGTTAACATATATTTACAAATAAATTATGTAAGGTTAACTATATAGACTAGTTGATATGTAGGTATATATAATATATATATATATTATATATTTGCCCCCCCTAATATATTTCCAAGTTACGCCCATGCGTTTCTGTATGTACTGTAGGCCACGTAGGTACAACAGCCACCGATGGAACACTAGGTACCTAGGTACTTAAATTATTAGATTGCTAAAATTTGCAAGATGTACCAAGCAACACTTGCAGTCTGCTGCAGAAAGAGTATTTAACAACTCTCTAAAGAAAATATTAAAAAGTTTCGCCAGTGAAGTGGAATATCAAAATAAAATGAGTCTCTTTATTGGAATTTGTCATACTTTGACCTAGGTACATTTTTTTTTCTGGAGGAGAGTTAAATCTACAAATTGATCTCTTTAACTTATTTAAAAGAATCACGGAAAACATTGACTCGTCCAAAAAAACTCAAGGAAGTTCTATCCTCTCCTCCCCGGCCACACGATAGTATGCAACCAATGGTCCTCCCCACCCTTGCCCAGTAATGGAAAAAGAGCAACAGTCATTATACCATGACTATGGTCTAACAAATTATCAGTCCTTACTTATTTTTAATTAAATATTGGTAAGTACTTAATATTACCAAGATACATATTTTAACAATACATATTAAGCATGTAAATACATGCTAAATATTTGCGAAAAAAATTTTAAAATTTCAATGTGGGCGGGGGAGTTGAGGACACACAAGTATATCAATGCAGCATCACTTTTTTTTGGAGATGACAGGAAGTATCTCATGATTTTCGGGCATAGTTCTTCGCTTCTTGCACCTTAGACCCAACAGACCTTAGCTGGGTTAGGTCAGCTTTCGGACACTATGGAGTAGGTGTCTACATACATAATATTCTAAAATTTATCACGATCTGTGACTTAATTGCTCACAATATGTTATGAATTCATGTAACACTACTTTAATGTTTGAATTTTTTCATAGGTTAGGTAGTTACTTTTTTTGTTATAGGTACTCACTACTCATTTTAACCTAAAATTGTATATTAAATATTATTTTTGTTTTATTTCAATGACCAACTAGTTAAGAACAATTTATTTTTGAAGGATTTGATTATGTGCTTACTCTAAAATTAATGTTTATGAGTTCAATTAAAACTGCTGACAATGTAATAGGAAGTAGGGACATAGGGTCATGTTCCCCCTGCTTTAATACAACTTGCAACGAGATTCAAATTCTTAATTTACTGGATAGAATTGTATAATGTATGATGAAATTAAACACAACACATTTGGAAATAAGGTTTATGAAAGAACCTTGTCAGTTGACATTAGACATGTAATTGGATTAATTATATGATAAGAGTATAAAATTAAGTTTATAGATTCTTATATATTCCTTATATATCATAATAATTGTTTATGTAATTTAATAATAAACAGACACTGAAATGTATGTAAGAATAGTCTAAGTACTTATTTGTAAAAACATAAACACTAAACAGTATTAATAAATAATAAATTTATAGTGGCAAGGTGGTGGCACGTTGTTTGGTTTTAGATACAAATGTGTTTTGAGTGCCAGTACTAAACAGTGTCCCTAGTTCTCGGATGGGTGATCACCTAGGTTCTTAGTGACAAATCCTTGACATACATGTTCAGAAACAACCGTACCCTGTTCTATAGCAAAAACCAACTAATAACTATGCAGTTGATGCCATAGAACAAATTAACTTCGAAGTTTGTAAATTATGACTTTAACACAAATGGAATAAAAAAATATATTATTTATAGAACTTTTATTCATTAACAATACAAACAATCAAATACAACCATTGCTAATAAATAGTTTAATCCTCACAAAGATCCATCCATTCTATGGGAGTACATTTTGTGCATGAGCTTCTTACAGAGTGGCGCTAGATATAAAGCAAGTTGCCAAGATGTCATCATAAACATAGAGAAGGATCCTATGGTCATATCTCATCCAATGAATAAATAAATAATAATAATGTTTTTCAACAAGTAACAGTCTTATTTAGGAATTGTATAAACATGTTAACAATATTTGTTTGGTCATTTGTAACTGAAACATGGCTTTTGGCATACGATAAAAACTGTTTTCTAGACTTAGCAAGCTGCACTAATGAGACACTCTTATCCAATTTGTTCAGATATTTTCCTTCATAATCAACTAATTCAATATTTTCTCCTTCCACGCCTTGTTTCTTTAACTGTATAATTGACTGTAAAACACAGTAGGAAACAAAAAAAGTATTAGTAATTATTTTCTTCACTAAGTTTTGATTAAATATTTAACTAAAAAAAATGTGTAAAAAATACTTAGTACTTACGTTAATTACCTCTTGAGTTTTTTGATCTAAATCATACAAATAAGAACTTGAATTTAATGGTGCCTGTTAAAAATCAAAACACAAACACAAAGTAATTAATGCTAACAGTACCATTAGTTTGATGACAATTGACAAGTTCCAATTTCTTTAACTTTAAGCTGTTAATTGTGTACGAAAAATCACATTTTCAAAATTAGACAATACATAAATATAAATTATTAAAGTAATTTGATGAAATTTTAGTAATTTAAAATATTTTTTTATTATTTTAAATAACATTCCTCATTATTAAGAAAATGTATGTATTTAAAAGTTAATAGTTATTAAATAATGATAGTTTACTGAATAATGTTTGAACTTTTCAACTTTTAAGGACTGGTTAATTAATTAGTTTTTAAAAAAATGAGAAGAAAATGATAAAAATATTTTATTTTACTGTTTATGTAAATACTTTGAATGGAAATGTTTTATTTAGCTACAGGTAAGACTAAAAACTTTTAAGTTAAAAATAATATTCCTAATATGTAGTATTTATTTGAATAATAAAACGAGATGAAAATATGATTAAAAATTAGTTTGAAATTCAATTGTATGTTAAAATATAACCGTTCAAATAACTTATTAATATAATATATTGAGTTTAACATAAGTATGTCCTTACATTTATTGTTGATTGATTTGGTACAGGAGCAGCAACATCAAAAATTGCTTTTCGTATCTCTTCGGCTGGCAAAGTGTCATCCAATTGTAAATTTATCAATGGCGAATCCCATCTAAATATACATTCATCTTATTTAATAAACACTATTAAAATATTTCACTTTACTAACCTATTAGAATGATTTGGTTCTTCATATCTCATAACAAGGTCATCAAATGTTTTCCTCACATATCTTTCTTGTTCAGTTCTGTTTTCATTCAGCTCCCAAGCTTTTTCAGTTGAAATATCACACACAACTAAGCACTTTGGAGTGCTCAAACTTTTAGAAGAACAATACAATTCATATCTAAATCCTAATAAATTAAAAGTTCATATACATTCTACATTACAAAATTATTGTTTATTAAAAAAAAAAAATACAAAATAATTAAGTACTATACATACCTTTAATAAAATTTCCAGAATCCAATATTACAACATTTTCTTTTGTTAAACTCCTACAAAATAGTAAAAAACATAATAACTAACTAGTTTTACATTAATGAATAAGTGATAAGTGGAATTGTATTTTATTGCGACTCAATCCAAATGTAATAATTCCATAATTCTTATAATTGAGTTTACATATTTCATACAACCAGCTAATTCAATTAGCTTACATGAATACAGACCAAATTCCTAGAATTATCAATATTTATAACTATAAAAACAAAATAATATAATACTATAATAGTATTCATAAACTTACTTTAATGCATCAGAATGCAATTTTGACCGGAGATCTTTTTCTTTCTTCATTTCTGTAAATATTATTACATAAGCATAAATTTAACAAGTCAACAAAATATATTATTATAATTTAAAACTAATAAAAAATATTTTATCATTCAAATTACTGTACAAATGTTCTTAGCTGACTCATATCTTAGACTGTTTATTTTGTCACAGATTCAACAAACCTGGTGAAATAACAAATCTAACATTTAAAATCAACGAATGTCAGCAGTAGTTTACTGATATCTAATAATTTACCCATACCCATGCATATGCTAAATCAAAAATGTAAGATAGTAAAGGCATATTTTATTGTAAATTAATTTATAACTACCTAAATACAAAACATTTTTGTCTATATTCATATTTGATATAATTTCGTTATCCGATATTAAGATAACTTCTCTGTGTTGTTGTTCCGTAAAGTATTTTTGGATCTCACGAGCTCTTGTCGTCTTGCCACTACTCGGTAGACCAACCATCAATATTAAAGGCATTTTTAATACAATAAACAAAGTTAAAAACAATAAAATAAACGTCTTATAAATTGAATACAATCGTGCTTAACATATTTATTTTGAACATTTGAATACACATGATAACAGATAATAAATAACGTTATCAGCCATTGAATAGATCTCAAAACAAAATGATTTATTTCCCCATGACGGTGTATGGAACAATAAAAATATTTTATTACTCAAAATAAATTTTTAACATTTTTTACATTTTGTGCAGTAAGAAACGAAATATTTTTTATCAGGGTTTAATACAATTGTTCGATGAGTGTAAGGATATGGAGAGTTTGTAAACGGTTCTAAATGAATGGCCATCCAATATATCTTCCCTTCATTTTCCTGAAATTCCCTGCAATATATTACATCAATAATAATTTAAATTAAATAAATAATAAATTAAATCATAATATAGGTTTCACACAGGGTTAGCTAATATTTACCTGAACTTTTCTAACAAGAACTTTACTTTTTGATTATCAAAAAACCCTGTCCAGACAATTTGAGTTACTTGACCAACATTGCGAGAATTTGATTTTGTTAACTTTCCATCGGGTAAAATACTTGATATTCTATCATCGCTAAAAAATGAAAAATGTGTAATGCTTAATTATTGTAATACTATATGAATTCAAACTAAAAATAAAAATGAATACAATATTTTATAAAAATGTACACTTGAACAAAAAAATCAAATTATTTTGTATGTTATTTTTTTGGTTATTTCAATTACTAAAGAAAGTTATAAATATTCAGAAAATGGTATAGGTAAGTTAAGTACCATAACATTTATTTCTATACCCCTATTATTATGAAGAGGAAGCTACGCTAGCATGTGTTGTCTGTCTTACTAATGTAAAACATAGCAAAAACTGTTTGGGAAATAACTGAGAAGGCAACTGTTATAATTAAGGAATCAAATTTTCACCACGAATAGAGGAGAATTTTAATTGTGTTGTAGAGTTTATATTTTTCTATAATACCAATACATCAAAAGTTATTTAAGTTTGTAAAACTAATTGACAAATATTTAAATCTGTATAAGCATAAACATGTAGTGTATGTCTTATGTCAGATTTTTAAAAATATTTTAACTTTTTTATTATTAATGATATCATACAAATAAAATTATTACAACACAGAAAATATTAGCTTGTATATTGTGTAAATTGTTGGTGTCTCTATTTAAGACTACAGAAAGAGTGGTTCTATCCCGCGCAAAAAAGTTTTTGTTATGTTGTACATTTATAAGACAAAGACAACACATGAGGGTGTAGCGTCCTTTTAATAATAAGTAATATCAATAAAAAATATCTTAAATAAAACAAATTCTCACATATTAATGTCTAAGGAAAAATACGATAACCAAGTATCTAAAAGTGCAAAATCATCAGTGCCTGTTGGGATGGTCATATTATATTTTCTGTTTATAGTTGTTCGGGGGATACATCCTTGACAGTCAAAACCATTTTTGTGAAAGTATGAAGCTATTGACGAAGGACAGACATCATCATCTAAAATATATTTTGATAAAATAATATGTTTACATAATTTATTTAATTTTGTCTACAATTACTTACTATTGGATTCCCAGCAAATAATCATATCAAACTTGGTCTGAAAACGTTCAAAACTCTCCTTGATACGTTGATAAGATTTGCTACTGAATTTTAATCCTTTCAAATCCAATGTAATTTCTTTTAACAACAAAAATAGTAACATTTTAGAATTTTAAATTAAATATTAACTTACAATATAATTGAAATACTAAAAATACTTGAGTCTTTTGCTGGTAGGCACATATTTTGATAGGATGATTGAATTAAAGACATTTGCAGCAAATTATTGTTTGTTATTGAAATACAGTCTTCAGCATCAATGTAAGTATTCAGAGATATAGCATAAACATTGCCTAGCAATTAAAATACAATATCACTTATATTATACATAATACAAATTATGATCATCTTGTATTCTTGAATAAAACAAAGCATTAAGAATCATCAATTTGCAACAATTCTGAAACTATCATTGAATATATTGCATTATGCATTCATTGCACTGTATTCACACCACATGAAAATATGTATAGTTATACAATGACATAATGTGAAACTTTTAGATGGTAGAGATATAATAACTAATACACAATACACTATACAGTTTATTTAAAGCAATAATAATTAGTAAATATCCATACCATTTTTCACAAAAGATGTGATAAATCCAGGATCTATTAATGAGCATAAGGTAACATTTTTTATTAGGTAGTATTGGCCATTTTCAGTAAATATGTTTTCAATATAATTTGGAATGAAAATTGTGTCTGGCAAAACAACCGAAATCTAAAACATCAAAATTAATCACAAATCATAATATTTCATTATTTAACATCAAACAAAAGAACTATCCTAGCAATCATTAATAATATACTTACAGAATGGGTGAGTCCACATTCATCTATATTAGCTAATAATTTATCCCAATGCTTTTGTACATACTCATGTTTATTTAAAGGCGGTTTGAAATTAAACAATTCTGGCTCGATCATTATTATTAATATAGCCTTATCAATTTGACATACCTATTATAGGAACGACTATAAACCTCTGTACGAGTTTATTCGATCTGTTTCAAAGAAAAACAATTTATTAGAACATGAACATAATAAAATATCACAAAAGACAAAATTCAAATAGGTAATTTTAAAATTGTGAAGGTTTTGAGCAAGGTGTATGGATATTTGATATTTGAGGTACCTTGATTTTAAGCTTTGACCAGTAAAAATTAAATATGGCCATGTGGGTGAAACATGGACCTACTGATATCACAGAACAATGCTGATATCAGTTTACAATGTTTACATTCTTAAGTAACCACGATTTATTTTTTAGGTGTTTCGTATTCTATATTTATAGTTTTATTGATATTAAATTCGCTAATAAAACATTGGACCAATCTACCTTAGTACCTTCTAGCGGTGATTTTTTCTCCATAATTATATGGCCCGGTCAATTGTAAAATTTGCACTCGTCTGATTTTAAATTTTTGTTGTTTTGAATTTTCAAATATTATTTATTACATTGTATAAATTTCTTATTTTTTTTTTTAAATATGTCAAGTTCTGATGATGACTTGGATGCATTACAACTTTCAGCCGAAGCACAGAGAGCTTTAAAAGAGTTTTATGAAGAACAAAATGAAAAATTGTTATCTCACTGTGATGATAAAGATACTACCGATGTAACATTTGATGAAGATTGGGTGAGATTGCGAGTTTGAATTGATTTTTTTTCCATTTATTTTTGTAACATAAATGTAGTGGTTTTGTTGCAGCAATTAAGCCAATTTTGGTACGACGAAAAAACATGTGAACGAATTGTTGAATGTGTTATTAAAACAGTTGGTTCAAATGGTAGTATAGCGTTGATATCATGCCCTACGTTGTATAAAACCTTTAAGAAAAAGTCACCCACAATGTTAAGTATGTGCAAGAATTGTGTTGTATAATGTGTTTATATTCAAACTTTTCAATTTTTAGTTAAACTATTTGAGTTTGACAAAAGGTTTAGTGTTTATGGTTCAGATTATGTTTTCTATGATTATAATGAACCAATGAAATTTGATGAAGAACTATTGAAAAGTTTTGATTTAGTCGTTGTTGACCCACCATTTCTTTCTGAAGAATGTTTGACTAAATCTTTGCAAACTACAAAATCTCTAACAAAACAACATGTTATATTGTGTACAGGTTAGCATCACAGAAATTATGTTCTTATGATTTATCATGTTTTCAATTACAATTAATTAAATGATTTCCTGTTAAATTTTCAGGGGAAATCATGGAGGAATTAGCAACAAAGTTACTTAATGTTCACAAGTGTTCATTTGAACCAAAGCACAATAATAATCTTGCTAACCAATTTGCTTGTTTTACAAATTTCTCATCTGAACTCGATTAGTAAGTAATTACTGATTTCCTCAACTTCTACTGTAAAATTGAGAAAGTTAATGTAGTTGAGTGATTCTATATAATTATAACAATTATACACTTATTTACCTATTTTTTTTTTATGCCTATAAACTTTAATTTTAATTGATAGGTATTCTATACTATTTTTAAGGAAAAAATTGTAAGAATGGTTATTTCTGTTTTCCATACATATAACCAAGTTACACCATAAAAATGTATTTCCAAAAATTCACTAAGTATTTTTTCTTTAATTTATGATCAGTGCCAGATCTTGGACTCAAACCCAGTGAAAAATAAAATGTTGGGGCTCTTAAAAAAAAATGCCATTAATGTACTTGCTTATTTTAATTAAAAAAACAAATTAACTATTAATCACAATGTATACAATTAAAAAATAATAATTTAGCTGTCCAAATAAATAAATAATTAATTAATTTTATAATTATTCATCATATTATAACTCTAATATAACATTTAGACATTTGCACAAGCTACTATGCTATTAAAGTATTATGTTTATGCCATTTATGAATTATGATAAATCATATTTCCATAATTTTGGGGGCCCCAGTGCAATGCACAGTTTGTACCACCAGCTTATCCGGCACTGTTCATATGACTATTTTATTATGTTAATCTTAATAAAATGTAATACATTAATATAATTTTTAAAATGTTGAATAGTTATTTAGTGTTATTCATGTTATTGATCACTGTAGTTATCAAACACTTATTAATTATAATCAAAGAGAACAATGTGAACACCGTTATTTCCAACAAATCAAACATAATGCATAGTAATAACATGTTTAACATTTAATGGACTTCTGCTTAATTACCAAGGTATAAGTAGATCTAAAATTTATACAATTCAACACGTTAATAATAATTTAAATTTGACTAAACAATAACAATATCATAAGTACCTACACAAATTTCATAAGTAAATTTAAACAAACATTTATACAATTAAAAACAATAAATATATAATATTTATTAAAATTTGTAACAGTTGTACAACAAAAATATATGTATAAAAAATGTCACCAATTTTATAGGAACATAAATTGCCTCAAACATACAATAATGGCTTAATAGTTAACATTTTCACAACAATAATTGTTTATAATAATTTGTAATTATGGAACCAAAAAAATGCAAATACCTACGAATAGTACATATTATATAAAAAAATAATAATTTAACCACCTAAATTATAAAAATTAAATTGAATTGCTTACAATTTATGTATAAAAAAGTAAATAATATTTCAAATATTTGAACTGTATTGAAAAGGTACTTTGAATAATGTAAGTACGCATACCATCACGATGGGCAAATATCTCTTTTTCCAGAAAATGATACTATAGACCTAATCCCTTTCATGGAAGTCTAGAAAAAAGTAAAAATCAAATCAAATCTATTTCTTACAAGATAATAAAAAAAAATAATTCAAAATGGTTACCTTTTTCTTGGAAGTGTTTAAATATTCTTTATACATTTCTGATCTTATATATCTCTGGTAGCTGTCACTCTTCATTAAATGGTAGACATGAACCTGATTAATAACAGTTAACATATAATATAAACTTTTAAAGTTCTACACTAACTAGTTTCTAACTAAATTGGAAGGTCTATTTTCTGTTTATCATGTCTTGAACTCCATTCTTAATCTTACATAATGAAAATGTGCGATTACATACGGCAGCAATATCAAATGCCCATCTATCAGGAGCGGACATGTTCTTTCGGCTTAATTCTCTTGACTGAGAGTCAATGTTTAATGAATCACCACTTAAATACTCTGTCCAGATTTCTTCGGCCGCTTCAGGTACTTCACGTTGTGGCAATTTCTTAAGATTTTGTACTGCTTCCCAAAATCTTAAAGGAAAAAAACATTGTTTGGACTGTTCTATACTTGTTATCTATTAGCAAACATATAATATGGCATTTATTCTTACTTTAAATTTTCACAACTAAATTCTTTTTCCAGGAATTTTGTAAAATGTTCCTTTCCCGCAGGATCAGCTAGAAGCTCTTTTAAACTAAATGCCCATCGTTTTATTCGACGTACTGTAACTTCTTTCCTATAAGAAAACATAGAACTATTTTTAAAATTTTAATTGTTTCTAATAAACTTAATAATCAATAAAATTACGCACGCATGTTTGTCACAATCCCATACTTCAACATTATCTAACAACCAAGGGTTGCTAAATTCTGGAGGTGTAAAAAATGGATCATATTCTGCATACTGTTCAAAATAGGTAATGTATCTAGAAGAAAATGTAAAATAGTCAGTACACTGTGCATTACAATTATTATTTTATGAATTGAATCAATACTAACGTGTCTGCAATTTTTGATAGTTTTATATTACGGCGATCAAGCTTTAGCCGCATTGCAGTTATGTCTTTTTTTATAGATTCAATAGTAGGTTTACCAATGTTAGTTTTTACTGGAAGCTGTATAGGTAGTAGTAAGTTGGTAATGTCTCCATTTGCTAAAGTAGCTAATTCTTTATACCTCTTTAATTTCCTGTAGTCAATTTCTGTTGTTATTATAGTACCAGGCTGTAAATAAACTCAAACGTTATGTTGTATTGTTTCAAACTTTAAAGTCATTCTGGTAATTACCATTGGTCTATGTACGTCCCAAAATGCACGTTCTTGACTATCTAATATTTTTCTTTCCATGCGGTCTCGTTTCTTGTCTACTTTACTTTGAGCCTCTGCCTGCAAGAATACAAATTCCCATTTTCGAGATAACACTTTTTGGAGTTTTGCTAAGTTTTCAGCTTCATAATCAGCCAACTCTAAACGTGTTTTGTTTTGCATTGTTCTTTTGCACAGGTATACAGCTAAAAAATATAAGTACTTTTCATTTTAAGTAGATACTTTATTATTCTACATAAAAAGTAATGTGTCCCCAAAAAATAGGAATAACAGAAACTGAATTAATTAAATTAAAATCAATTATTTCTTATAAAATATAACATATTTATATTTTACATTCTTACCGTAGTCAGTATTTTCAGGGTCAAATATATTTGATGGCCAATAATAAGGAGTCTGTAATAAATTAGAGAAAATATTTCAGTAAGAGTTAAAAATAATAAAAGTCATTTATTGTATTGCAATAAATGCTTAAATTCAATACTAATATAAACTGACTAATCATATATTATACGTAATTTAAATGTATTTAAACTCTTTTCAAAATGTATACGTATACAGCTATACCTAATTTAGGTAATTATTAGTTATGATTTATTTTATATTAAGCCAGTACTTTGGTGATTGGTCAAAATAAGTTTAGCCAAATTTTACATTTTGAGATTTTCATGTATTTTTATTCTAATATATAAACATTTTTTTTTTGTATAAAATAAACAAATTAAGTCAAACGCTTTTCTTCTCCCAAATATAACACTTGATATTTAATATTTTACAAATTTTAATAAGATTTATGGTATATTTAAATTTAAGTTAACATAATATATCAATTTGATCGATACAATTCTAATACTTTATTTATGATCATAAATAATTGTGTTAATCTAGATATACCTAACTGATATAGGGTTAATGCTTGATATTTTACTGTTTACAATGATGTCATATTGAATCTAATGTGTAATTGTACCATATTGTGATATTTTTTTCATTTTTATTTGTCAGCCTGAGTTTAAATAATATTCGTACAACATGAAAATCGCCATGTTTCGGCCTTAAACCTCTACTAATAAAATTACTGCTATTAATACTTTTTATAATAAACATTTATGTATGTTCAACATTAACTAAGTAATTTACTTTTAAATGTTAATGTATTAAACTAAAACAATACTATAATTATTATCAAGAGTTATAAGTTCAATATTCAGTTAATTAAACGTCATATATTACTTACTTGAAAACGATAATAAGATCCATCATTTTTCACATTCAGAAAATGATCATCAATTGGGAACAAGTAACCATGAGAAGACAATAGATTTGCAAAGTATAATGCTTCAACTAAAATGCATGAGTATAATATTAGTAATGTTTTACTACATTTATTTGCATTGCTTATTATACAATCAACTGAATCTTTACCTTGATCATCAACATCCACATTCTTCATTATCCACAATATCAAATCGGTTCCTTAAAATAAACCATACCTTATTATTACTATTGGCTGGTGTGTAAAATAACATGAGCGTGTAAGAAAGTTACCCGTAAACACAGAAGGCACTTTAGCTCTGAACTTGTTGACCGTTCGCACAGGAATGCCGGTGTTCTCATCCTGCATACGGTCCATCAATTGTTCCATCTAAAAATATGAGGTTTGAGTGTTAAAGACTCCAATGGAGGGGGGTTTTCAAAATGTTAGTTATACTTTTTTGTACACTATCTGGTGCTGAGTAATGTTGTCTAGGTCGGTCATGGAAGCCGCCGTGAGTGACACGGTCGGCGTGTCGACGGGTAGATTGCCATCATTTTTTTGTTTCTTCCGTCTAGCGGACCGCTCAGAACCAATGACCAGGCTGTGGATGAGTCAAAAAAAAAAAATTGAGTATCATCAATTACGTCAATTAGCATGTCTACCTAATCTATTTGGCGTATTTAATGTCTATATAGGTGTGTATAATAATATTCTATGGTCAGATTTTGACGGGGAATGGGGATGAACACCATGAAATTGGGGAGCGTGTTGATGGATAGGTGGGACGCATCAGTGGATACACCATATTATATTATGTTCGAATATCTTGCGTCACATTTATGCGTTAGGTACGTACCTTTGTCCCATGGCTTTAAATATGTAGGAACATAGTATCCCTATCGGTTTTAACAGGACAATTAACATCTATGACGCCCGTGTATGGTGACTGCGTTCATTAAGGACACGACGGACAAACGCGTCTTGCGAGGGACGGTCGTGTGGCTTGCTGGCTGTCGATCGGTCCGTCCTGCTCGGGTGGGCGGTCGGGAGGGAGTGAGCGTTGCTGGTTCCGTGTTGCAAATTGCAATTGTGTAATGTGTACGCGGTCTGTGCAATGTGTATATCGCACAATGGCTGTGGCGACTGACGGGGGAGCGGTGGCGGCTGCGACAACAATAATATTATTCGCCTCGCCGGAGCAGACTCGCGAGTCGGCAGCAAAGGGATTGGCGCGGTGAAGGGGCGGCGGACCGCGGACGACCGTCGAGAGAGAGCGCGCGCGCGTGCGAGGGACGACCACCGACTGCCGAGAGCGCGCGCGCCGGACGACCGCTGCCGAATGCCGATCCCGTTCGGCGACGGCACATCTTTCGAGACAACTTACTGCTCCGGCGGGCTAATTTTAAATCAATACCTATTCGGACAGTCGGACGGTGGCGCGCGCGCTGTTGGGCGGGCGTGATCCCCCCTCCCGGGGCACCTACCGCCCGCGCAGTTTGGGTTCGTTAAACCGCCATCGAGATTTCTTGCAATAGCATAATAATAATTAATGATGATAAATAGTAAATTATAATTTTTATGTCGTTAATGACATTCAAAGTTATCTAGTCTTAGTCTATAGGGACGTGTTGTATTTATGATTTATCTATATTTTAGATAATTTAACGGGGAGGGGGGGGGGGTGACTTTAGTCTACGACCAATGTTCATTTTCTCGCCTCAATCTAATATAATATGGACTACGATGGGTGAGGGACGAGGGTACCTTACCCACCAAACAATCTTGATTGATCAACAATATTGAAGCGAATCTGTTGTCACTTGTCAGCTGCCTACATTAAAGTTTAAATTGTGACCATCTTATAATTGATGCATACTTTTCTGATGAAAAAAATGTGTTCATTTTTAAGTAGGTAAATGATATGATAAATTTATAAATTTATAAAATATTTAAAATTACAAAAAAAGATAGGATAAAGTATAATTTAATATTAACTAACCATGAGTTTGTTATATTTAACATTTTTAGATGATAATATTATAACAAATTGATATTTATAATTTATGTATCGTATAGGTAATATACATTTTATAAGTTTTTTTAAATTTGTAGGAAGGGGTAGGGTGAAAAGACGGTGAATTTGGTAGTTAATATAAATTATACAGGCGGAAAAACATATAAATACTCCACTGAGTCTTAGTAGAGATTACGGCTGTCAGTATGTATAGCATAAATCACACTAGTGCCTGCCCACAGTAGCTGCAGTGTAGAATATCATTGCAGATAATTGGACTACTTAGTACAGGTACTAGATTGACATGCCATGTAACCATATTGTCCATTATAGGTATGCTAATAACTCTGTGTAGAGTCAAAGAGTCAGAGTGATGGAGAGCAGACATTGTAAATACTGATGTCTGACGATCTAATGAGTAAATTCCGATCGATCGAGCGAGATCCTCGCGATCACTGCCATTATTTTATTACGTGTTTACGTAAATATAATAATATGGTATTACTCACTTCGCAGTACCTATAAATATATAATATTTTATTATCTATACACCCACTCATGATGGATATTGTTATGGACGCCACACGGGTCGTTGGCCGGACCAAATGGCGTGACCGTTTCCAAAGGGGTTGACTAAATATAATTAATAACTAATAAATTATTTAAACAAACTTGTCGACAAAAAAATAGTTTTAAATAAAAATGTTGATGTTTTATAATATCTGTAATATCCTTATTGCAAAAGTGCTACTTGTCAAGATAGAATTTGACAGATAGCATTAAGGGTACGTTGTCCAGACTCAAAGTATCGTCACTACATAATTATAATTTATTTCAGTCCTCAATCCAATATTAAGAAAAAGAAAATCGGTCATCTATAATAAAAATGTTGGTTTAAGTAATACAAAATTGTAAATGGGACACGGGTCGTGCAGACTGCAGCGTAATCAATCATCGTGGTGATAGCAGTGGCGTAAAGTTTTGCATGAATGACGGATTGTGTGCTTGTGTCTATTACAATGTGAATACCCGAAAATGCAATACCCACCTACGTTATCGACTTTCTTGTATATTTGCATTTTGCATTTACTGTTTTAAAGATTGCGCACAAAATATATTATGATTATGAAAGATATGAAAACCAAACTTATAAGGTATTCTAGGTATTATTCTGTAGAATAATACACAACCAAAATAACCCATACTAAATATTGAATTATTATGGAGGAAATGCCTTGATCTCAACTTCGAGAGTGGTTTCTGGTAGCAATGTAGAATATCTAATCTATAGGTGGTGCTTTGAGTGCTTTAACGTAAACAAATTTTGAGAAGGTACTTTTCAAATAAATCAAAATCTAATCTTTTTCATAATTTGAGAAAATCTAAAACAAATTAAGGAAAATCGGGAATTTTTCCGAATTATCATCAATACCAGATTTTGATTTTTTTAGCTAGAATTCAAAAAAGATATAATATAATTCTAGAGACTACAAACACCAAATTCATTTATTTTGGCATTTTCTACTTTTCTAGATATTAAATAAAATATTTTGGTGATTTTTGTGCTATTCGTGAACAGATGAAATTGCATAACGTATATCGGAATCGCGTACCTATGATAATATTTCAGTTCTCTTTGTGACTTTGTGAATAAAATAAAGCTGGACAATTTAATACAAAGATTTCATAAATCATACGTACATGGTACCTAAGTTGTTCTTATCACAATGAATTATAATAAATATCAAAAATACCTACACATATGAACATTTTATAAGCGTTTAAATCGAAAATTGTAATTCAAATCAAGTTCATCATTTTACTGGAATACAAAAAGGTTTTGCGTTGATCCGTATACATTTTTTAAGTGATTCAATTGTAAATTATGACAACAATGGATTTTCATAATCTAAATAACGATTTATCAAACAGTTTTTGATATTTTGTTGTAAACCAAAAAATTCATGATAAAAACGGTCTACCATTACTGAGATTATAATAATTATTATGAGATAGACCATTTTAAATTATGTTTTGTGACAACGTCAAAATTTCGAATCATAGACTGATTAATATAGATACATAATATTCATTATTCATTTCTTTATAGTCTGTTCTTATAACTTTTAAGTCCGTGAGTCAAACATTGCGTGGTATATTAGGCCGCGATATGCAAGTGTGCAACCAATAATAATATTATGGTGAAACCACGGTTTTTATACAGGTATGCGGTTCTAACCATAACCGCGGGTACTGGGTGGAACTATACTATCTACTATCTACAGCCGTGATAATTTTGATAACGTTGACTTCAAAGATTTCAAAATAAATATCAAATTTTATTTTACCAAGGGTTTAGGGTATTTTGGGCTTTTGACGTCTAAAAATGTATGCTAAAATAATAATAAAATAATTATATCAAAGTTAAATCATATACCTATGTGTTCCTAATTTTGTTTTAAAATGTTTAAAGAATGTTTCAAGTTTTATAAGCATATTAATTCACTTGAACAGCAATTAGATGTTATAGACTTTGCAAATGAAATCGATACCGAATTTGTGGTAAGTTATTAATTTTCTAAAATGTATTTGAACAAAAACACATATTTATGATTATTATTTTATCATAGAAACCTGTGAAATTAACTTCAGAATTTTTTAACAATGATAAAGAAATACTGGATGATCTTGGTTTAAAAAGTGATTTATCAGATTGGAATTGTTATGATGTCTTAAATGTGCCTGGTAAAATATTAAAATCATTATTAAAATCAACTTTTATTATTACATGGATTATTGTTTGACATACCTAGGTTTAATATTTATTAAAAATCCATTTACATCAACTGGTCAAAAATATTGGATGAAACGATGCATTGTTGACTATACGAAAAAGCCAAATCGATTAAATATTGATGCTCACCATTTCCTTGGCGATGGAGAAGATTGGTGGACTACAACAAATAAGTTAGCTGTACATTTTTGAATTATGATCAATATTAAAATCTTAAATAGAGCCAACAAAACTATTAATGGTTTTGTGTTTTTAGCATAATATAAAGCTCAACAAATTATTTTATTTTATTTCTTCATTTTAATATGATTTTATTTTTTAGGAATTGTTATTTATAATTTTATTTTTATTTTTAGGAATGGAAATGTAAAACTTAGAGATCAATTACGATGGGCCACACTTGGATACCACCACAACTGGGATACAAAAGTTTGTTTCAAAATAGATCTATATTTTCTTTATTTGTTCATACATAAATCTTTTCTTTTTTTTTTTTAACAATTTCTTAAAATTTTAATTAAAAGCAAATTCCTAAAAAATAAAATGCATGTTTTAGCTGTTGACTTATAAATTATTTTTGGTTTTATGCTCTTGGAATATGACTTAATATAATCTAAGTAACATTTATAATACAATATTAATATTTACAAAAGTCAAAGAGATTAATAATTTTCATCATACGATTTTAAACTAGGTATATTCTGAAACTGCAAAATCTGAATTTCCAATGGACTTATCTAAGCTTAGTAAAACCATTATTAATATATTACAATTCCCTGATGAATTTATGGCAGAAGCAGCTATTGTAAATTTTTACCATCCATCATCAACACTCTCTGGACATACAGATCATTCAGAGTATAATCTAAGCGCTCCACTATTGTCAATCAGGTTAAAACAATAGATACAAAAATTATCCACCCTGTTAAATTAACTCATATATTATTTCTATGTTGCTATGTATCTTACAGTTTTGGTTTACATGCCATATTTCTTATTGGAGGACGTTCATTGGATGACAAGCCATCAGCAATACTTTTAAGATCGGGAGATGTTATCGTTATGAGCAAAGAAAGCCGATTATGTTACCATGGTGTACCAAAAGTGCTGTTACCTAAAAATGATCAAGATTTTAACTATGAAAATGAGTTGGAGGACCCTTTTAAGAGTTATATGCAAGTTACAAGAATTAATATAAATGTTAGACAAGTTAATAATATTGTTTGAAACTATTAATTAAACTTAACTGTACACCAATCTGTAAACAATACATATGAATAAATTATTTATATAAACATTTGAGACTATTTATTTTTGTTTTAATACTCAAATCCATACTAAATATTTAAAATTATATGCAAATCTCTGTAAAATATATTAATATATTGATGTAAATGTTGTAATAAAAACTAAATATTTAGTTCAAATTTTACAAAATTAGATATTGAAACGGGAATAATGATTTAGTTATTTTTTAGTACCTACCTAATAACATTTAATCTTGAAAATTTCCAACTTTTAAAGTATTATATAATA